AGCAATTCCAAGGCCAGCAATCCGTTCCTGGACATTTTCTGAAGCCATTCCAATCATCCTCAAGCATTAAAACCTTCATAAATCACGCCTCACAGTGCCATGGTTTGCATCCTTTTTCAAGATTCATTTTCAATAATTTATCCATCATAAACATTTTTTGATCATATATCTATGCTTGCTATCATATTTGCAATGTTTTTGATTGGTTTGATTGAAGTTTAAGCGCAGAAATGGCACGATGCCATTGTTAAGATTTTGAGGTCCCAAATTGGGAATTCCATATAGAGGCAAAATTGGACAAAATCAGGGGTACTATCATGCTTAGAAGATGATTTGCAATTGATCCATGTCTTTGGTTTGAAGTTATTCTGCTTGTGCTGTGTTTTTGAATTTTACAGGTTTATGGCTACGAACAAAATCTGTCACTATAGCTTTTAGTGACGGAAACGACTGTAGGTAAAAGTGTGGCCAAAAACAACAATTATGGGGAAGAAGACAATTAGGTGGAAGAATCTCATTGGGAGATTTGAATCACGCGTGCGTTTGGGAAAGACCACTTTATTTCCATTATATTTTATTTATGTTATTATATTTACAACTAACAATCCCAACACAAATAGCAAAGGCGCAGGCGGTAAAGCAAAGGGTCCTGGGTTCGTTCCCAGAATGTCACGTTTTCATATTTTCCAATTTATTTGTCCCAGATCCAGCGAGCCTCACCTTCAAAAGGGCCATCATGCATCCTCAAATCCACACCACCAAATCATGTCTTGGCCAGATCTAACGCCTCAAGCATACAGGCGCGTGGTGGACCTCCTGAAGGCCAACTGCACTGAATCCCCATGTGGGCAAATGGGCCTATAATTCTGGGCTTAAAAATTCCATTCCACACACCCAAGTTGCTAACAACATCAGGCCCAATTTTATTTTTCTTATTTTTTTAATATTATTTATCGTTCTATTTGTTTTATTTATTTAATTATTTTACACAAAAAAAAATCATAAAAATCAAAAATAAAAAAAAAGTATAGAACTAGGTTTCTCTTGAAATTAATTTTATTGAAAATAAAATAGTTTAATTAGATTAACTTGATTGTTTTTTTTTATTTAAAATTAATTATAGAATTAGGTTTAATTTGCAATTAAATTGTTTTCTCACTAAAAAATACACAAAAATATTTTTCTTTAAGTAATTATATTTAGGTTAAGATTTCAAATATTTTTCTCAATAATAAAAATACAAAAATATTTTCTCTCTAATTGATTAGATTTTTTAGGACTTAGACTTTATTCCCGTCTTAATTCTTCGCGCGCAGTTATTTATTTATTTTTTCAATTATTGTACCTGCTTCGAGTTTGTAATATCTTTTAATTAGGGTTTATTTTATTGCCTTTTATATACTGTTTACTCCCTGGTTTGATTATGTAACCCCCCTCCCCAAAGCCTGGTAATAGCTAGGTTTTTATTCTCGCACTCTTTAATTTATGCAACTATTTAACTGTTAGATGTATGGACAATAGGCTTGCATGTGAAAGATAAATGATTAATACAGTAGAAAACCCTAATTATGCAAAGATAATTAACTGAAAAAACACACATGCACATGCTCACTCCTAGGGTTTTCCCCACTTGGTTGCCTCGGAAATAATGGTCGTGTCCCTCGAATGTAGGGATACCTTAGCAATGACCCGCAACTCAAAATCGTCATAAAGATCATAGTCCCTACTTGTCCCTCGAGTTAACTACGAATTGATCTTATGACGATAGTCCCTTCGAAATGCTAAGGTATCTTTACTTGTTTCCTTGAGAGACCATTTCGTCCATTCGAACGTCCCTTTACAAATCCAACGATGGGGCTACCTACTCCTTAATAGTAGAATAATGCTGTCTAAAGGAAAACGAACAAACCTTTTTCGAGTAGGTAGATAGTTCCTAGGTACTTGCTTAAACAAACAAATTTCACACAAACACTTTCAAAAAAAATTTCAAAAACAACTTCGTCACACTCTTGAGGACAGATACAAGGGTTATCACGAAGTAAATAAAACTTTTCAAAACAAGCACACAGAAGCATTTTAAAATGAGCAAGTACCTAAGAGCCCATGGAAAACCGTGGATGGAAAGGGTGATAACACCTTCCCTTTCTATAATCTACCCCATGTACTCAGAAACATCTCGAAAAAGGTTTTTTCTGTTCTTTTTTCCTTTTCTTGATTGGATAAAATAAAAGTCGGTGGTGACTCTTGCTTACCACGACATTTTGCGAACAAAAAATGCAAACAAGTATTAACAGTCAGTTTTGCCACCGTATCACACCAACTTCTATCAAATACCTTGCTACATGTTCGACAGTGGACTCTGTCATATCCCCTGAAAACTTGGTGAACTTTGGAACATTCCACCTAGGGGGTAAATCTGATTGCAAGATGTAATCTGACAATGAAGATGTAAAGTTTGGCTTATGAAAGACAATGTTCACTCCATTCTATGCCATAATTCTTTCAACCATGGATGTCAAGTTATTATCTGCTGCATGGTAGTTGTGTCTAACCTGCTGTGTTACCTCATCAGCATTTTGGTTTCTATTTACCACAACTACACCTTGTTCGACAACTCTTGGGATTTGTGGGGCAACTCTGGGTACTTCGACCGTAGGTTGTTCGACCTCCACTCTATGGTTCATCCCGTCTGGTTGTGGATTATGGTTAATGGTCATGTCATCCTCTAAGACCACACTTTGATTTCCTCTTATCAGCTCTATTTGGGGGTGTCAAATAGGTTGAGGACCCCCAAAAAATTCGGCTATACGCGTAATTTGCGCTTCTATTTGCTGGTTCGACTGGGTGGTATTTTGTATCAGAGGGTTAAGTATTGTACTCAAGGTTTGTACCAACATCTGCACCATGTCATGGTTACTCTCATTCATTTTTTGCCTCAAAATTGTTGCAAAAGCGTTTGTGAGGCTTGGCATTATATGGGATATCCCTCCTAAGAGTTGGTTTCTACCCAGATTTAGCATTCCAATTCCAGATCCCTGCAATGGCAAATATGCACTCACCAAAGGTTCTGAAAATATGGATGAGGCATTCATAAGGCTTGCCATTTCAACAGTTGGCATGCCATAGGGTTGGTCTCGACCCATCCAGGCTATCAAAAATCCTGGAGGGACATAAGGTCGAACTCCCGAATTTCCCCATGGTGGGGGTGTTTCTGGTGGGCCCCTAAGACCTACATAAGAAAGTATTGGCCCTATTTGTGTAACTTCCAATGCTGGTGTCAAACCAACCGTTGATGGCACAGGTTCACTAACTGTTGGTATAACCGCTATTCCCGCGGGAATTGGTGGAGGCATTTCTCCACTACTTGGCTGATTAGGATTAGCCAGTCTCCTATTTCTTCTCCTAGGTATGTACTCTGTTGTGGTTAATTTACCACTTCTAAAAAACATACAACACTTTTGAGAGAAAGAAAATTACGTAAAGCACTTATGATAAAAACTTTTTTTATCAAAGTTTGTAAAAAAAACAAAAACTTAGCAACGTCCCACCAGGTGTGCCAATTTGTTTACCGTGAAAATTGGTAAACAACCGCTGATCTTCCAAAAAAAAATTATTTTGGTTACTTGCAATATCGATACGTTTGATCCTAGGACATATGCTAAGTGTTTTTGGGGTTTGATAAGAAGTCTTAACATTGTTAATGAACAAGTTCGACTGGACACTAAGAGTAAAGGCTTGGATAGGTTCAAATGCACAGGATGAAGGCAAAAACTTGGTAAAAATGCAAGTAAAGTACAGGATAAAGTAAATTTGCAGTAATTTAAAAGGTTGTTGTAATGGTAAAGTTTGCAGAAAAATGTTAATTGGAAAGGATTGTAAAGGAATGTAAAGACTTTGATTGCAATAAAGTATGGTGATTCAAACGTACATTCTCAATATTCTTTCTCTCACAGCGGGTACTTGAATAAAATTGAGTGACTTGTACAATGAGTTAAACACACGAATTTCTACACAAAATTCCTACATTTATACTAATAATAAGTAAGTGTCGAACAGTTTCATTGTTCCAGGATGAGGACAAGTGTCCTATACATGCTCTTCGACCCCTATCTTCACGCCACGTCGCTTTTCTCAACTGACAAATGAATCGCCTTTCCCTCCTTTCTTCAGATTCAAATCCACTTGCTGCTGATACAATAACTTTTCGGTCGAAACTGTCTTTAACAGAAAATTCTCTAAGTGTTTTTTTCTTCTTAGCAAGGATGACTTCGACACGAAGCCTTCCATAGACTCTTCTATCAAAGTGTCTTCATCTTAGATTTATTCAATCTATTTTTAGCTAATAAGGCCAATACATGTGAGTATCGAATTTAGGAGCTAAGAACTCCACACAACAACGCTCGGACTCGCGTGATTATATGGGTTTCCCAACCGTTGTTAAATAGATTTTCCGTAGTAGTGTTAGAAAGTGGCGCATATGGATTCGGACACTACGCCAAATAAGCTATTTAATAGCGCTTTTTTTTGTTTTTAATAGCGCTTAAAAGTGCTATTAACCGCGCCACTATTGTAAATATTTCTTATTTAATAGCACTTTAAAAGCGCTATTAAAGTACCAATTTATAATAGCGTTTTAATTAAAGTGCTATCAAAAAGCGCTAATATATAACATATGTTTGATAGCGCTTTCAAATAAAGTGCTAATAAATGGTACATATTTGGTACAATATTTTTAATAAGTACAGTACAATATTTTTTCTTACACAATCATTTTTTTTGGTGTAAATATAAAATAACTATATTCAATTCAACACAAATAACGCTTTAAGTTACTCATTGCATATATATTATGATCCATCAAATACCAAATAACATTTTAAATTACCAAATCCTATTGTTTCCAAATATCATAACATATAGAATATTAAGAGGGCGTTTGCATAGCCAAATTTGTAGATGCCCATCTATGAGTATTTCAATCCAAATCCAAAAACATACAATCAAATTCTCTAAACAAAACACCAAAAAAATAAGAAAGGATAACAAAACAACTTCAGTTTAGGTTGTTGCCTTTCTTCCACTTCTTCAGTTTGTTGCCTCTCTAGCTTCTCTCTATCCAACTTATCTCTCTCAATCTTTTCTCTCTCTAGCACCTCCAATCTACTTTTGAGTGAATTACAAAAGCCATACAATTTTTCAAAATCCATTTGTGTGGGGCGATTTTGGCGTGGTAATATGTCCCTAGAACATACCCCAAAACCATAAGTCCTAACACGTCCAGAGTAGTTTGGGAGATTAAGAGCCTCAAATAATATGTTTGTGGGACCAAGGTCTTGTCTCTCTTCTTCAGATAGAGCTTCTGTTAACTTCTCCTGACATTGATAAGTATAAAAGAAATAACCAATAGTTAGATACAAGTTGCAATTAATGGCTATTCTATCAAAATAAGACACAAAGACTCAATTAATTAAGGAAAATCGAGTTTAATGACTTCAAACTAACTAACAAAATACAAATTCGGTAACAATGATGAGTATAGAAAAAGTGTCACATCTATAATGTGAGCATTTTGGAAATAACATCTATAGTGTCACATCTAAAATTCGACTTACACATTGATCCACAACTCTTTGAACATTCTCATTATCAATCACCCCGCTCTTATTGACGCGAGCAGCCTTCCACACTTGACTACGGTTTATCTCACCAACTTCTGACTCTTCTACCTGTATATACATTTTTACAAATTAACATAGCAATTAAATTTTTTTATAATATTGTATAGTACATTTATACACATACTTACCATATCAACTTCAAGACGAGCACACCCTAAACGTGACTTCATGAGCATCTTTAGGTACAACAAGATTGTTTTCAACTGCCTGAACCTGAACCAATCCTTACATCAGTTTGAAGTTCTCATCTGCTTTGTCTTTTATAAAGCACTTCTCAAAAACAAAAACAAAAAAACTTGAAAGCAGTTTACTTAGAAAACGTACTAATGATTGAATGTGTTCTTGTGATTCAGGTTGATTCTGGCAAATAGAAGTTACTATTTGCGGATACATATCGAGCGTTCTTCCAGAGGATACAACTGCTTGCATGAGATAAGGTTTAAGTTTGAAGGCACAATTTGTAATTACTTTCTCCCCCAAGGTCCAACAAATAGGTGAAATAGTCTGAGAAACTGCATTTGAATCTTTTAGAATCTCGTATATGGATATAACATTTTCAATTGTCAATAGACCGATAATACACCATTCCAAGAAATCTGACTTCCTGTTCTGGAGAACTTCTTGTAAAAAATGAATATTATGCTGCAAGTAACCAAATCAACATAATAAGCCTTAGTTAGATAGCATAATCTATAGTAAAATAATTAAATATAAATGGTAGTTTGATGATATTTCTCTTCAAGTTTTTCTCCTTTCCCTGTAATAATTCTAGCATATTACATACCTCAACAAATTTCAATTTGTAATCTAGGTTTCCAAAGCGTTGTGCTACTTCGTACTCCTCCCTAAGATACTCGTATATTTGAGCATACTTTGCATCCCTCCAAGCAATTTCTGATCTGATTAATCCATGATAAAAAAGATGAATGAAGAGGCTCAAAACAAGTTCAATGAATTGAATTTTTACTATTATTGTCTATTAAGATGAAATGAGACTATACAATTGTTTCTGAATATTTTGGGATATGTAAGCTTAAATCAAGTGCATATTTTTCTTAGGACTAAAACAATGATGATAATACCTTTCGAAGAGACCAACTTTAAGAATCACATCAGCCAAATTTGAGTTAGCCTTCCCAACAAGCTGAAGTAGTTTCTTCTTATCCATAGTGAAAGTTCCGGTTTTTTCCATTCCACGATTTATGCCTGCAAACTCTTCAACTAAACCATCAACCTGGTAATTAGTGAAAACCAATGTCAATTTTTCAATGAATGTTTTTCATTGGGATTAAAAATAGCCAAAAAAGTAATGGAAAATAATATGGATTGCCTGCAGTCAATAATCCATGCATTCAAGCGGTTAGCATATTAACGGCTTCTGGATCGACAGTCCAAATTTCGAGCTTGGTATTTTAGTTTTAAAAAAAAATTAATTCGATCTCGATCCAACAGTCACCGATGTGCTGACTGCACACAATCCAAATCCAAGTAATAAGGCATTTGGCACATTCCAACCTGTGAGACAAAATAATCCAGAGCTATGCTTTGTCCCAGCACACTTCCAATTAAACGAATGCCATCAGTGTCCAAAGATTTCAGAACTATGTAGTCTGGACCACCTTGCATATCCTCGACTAATTGTGGTTTCTCCCTTATTGCATAATCTAATCATAAAGCACGAGTTACAAGAAAAGAAAAAAAAATGTAATTTACACATTTTTAATCTAATAATAAAGAGTTGAAACAGGACTGGGTTTCTTCTAAGCTTCAGTAAAACACAATCTGAAAAAACAGCCCAAAAAGTATTCTCTAACCTCTCAATTCCATCATCTTCTCCGGGAGTGTTCATTCTAAAGGAAGCAAATTATCATAATACTATTCCCTAAAAGAAATAAGCAATTTGAAAGGGAAACTATTAGAGGAGAATGAATAGTGTTATTGATGATTCCTCTTTCTCTAAGGTTGATAGAAAACCATGGTCAGAACATTTATCAAACACTTTGCGGGCAAACCAGAAGAGATAATGAGATTGATACAAGTGGGGCAAAGCTATAGAGAAGAGAAAATAACGGAGAATGGTGGTGGATGACTTACCGGGAGTGACACGGATTGAGAGCGGCGGAGATCGGAAAGCTCAGAGACGATTGACAAGGAGGTGTCTCCAGTCTTGTTGTTTGGACGTGCAACTGTCAAAATCACCCATAAAATAGCACCAACACCCAATTTGGAACCACATTTACACAACACAACCAACAACTTATCGAAGGCAAAAATAGAAAAGCTTCATAAACTATTATAGAGAACAATCTAATTCTAAATCAATAACAAACCATCAACAAGAATATGTTTGGTATACTTTAGAAAATCCACAGGTATTCATTTGGTCCCAAATCAACTGTGTATATTTCAAATTTTCAAATGTTAACCCAAATGTAGCAATGATAACAATACATATGAATGTTGCATCAAAGGAATTGAGTCAGTCATTGGAAAGGCAAGCACATAAAGAATTTTTCACAGCACTAACCTTAGCCGCACGGAAGGATTCGATGGATCAATATACAGCTGAATAGCAGACAAGGAGACATTGTAATACTGTGTAACAGATTCGTTACCAGACAACACCAATGGAACACCAGCCCCATATGCACTCCACTCCTTAAAAGATTCCCACAAGTCCCCAAGCACAAAGTACGGTTGCAATTCTGTCTCCATTGTTTTCAATCTCCTCTTACTTCTCTGTTTGTTTATACAGAAATTAGCCCAACAATTTCCTTCCATAATAAACCAACAAAGAGAAAAACTAACAGTGCCTTTAATATAGTTTCAAATAACCATATTATACAATTTCTTTGCACTATTAACTCAATTAAGTGGTAGTTTCAAACAAAGCCGTCTTAAATTTTCAGGAGACCCTATGTAGGTTAATTGCAGTTTAAGTGTGACACATATTTTATGAGACCCTATTTAACCTCAAGGACGGCCTGGTTTCAAAGTAAGCCTCATTACAATAATCAATTGAATTCTTGATCACATTAACCAGACTTGTCTTAGTACGTAACTCCATTAGCGAGATAAGAGACATTGAAGTCGTTTAAAATACGACGAGGTTCATTGCTTGATTCATGAAAATTGACATAACTACCTTACTAACATTTGTCTATAGTATACACTTTTTTTACATAAACCTAACACAAATTTCAAACCCTAAAAACTAACAATAACAAATAACTTACTAACATTAGTCTATAAGAAAATTCATGAACCAAATTCAGAGTTTAAATCATAAAAAACTAACATTTTTCTATAAAAATTATAAACCAGACACGAATGTGATTGAAATTCCAAACATTTCACAACAAATTAACAAAACTGATCATAGCATGAAAATTGAAAAGCATACCATGGGCCGGTATTGAGCGGGAACAAAAGGAGTGGTATGTTGTATGAATTTACACAAATTGGAAGCTTCGCATATTGTCTCATGTGAAGAAGAAACGGAGTTATCAGAAGAGGAACAAGGTCTGTTATTCTCCATCAACGTCAATTCCTGCTCCTGCTCCTGCTCCTGCTCCTGCTGTTGTCTCTGTTTTCGCAGGGCGGGCGGGCAGTAAAAACGATTCTCGACGTGATGGCGGGTGTTACGACGGCCGACGATGACAGCGCCACCAGAAACCGACATTGTTGTTTGCTTCCAGCGATGGCAGTTTGAAGAAACGACGTCGTTAAGATGTAGGTCACGACTTGTGAGTCCACCAATAAACAATGTTTTGTCACTGTGGCAAGTGATAGTGTCAAACACAGGGTTTTTATCAATTAATTAATTAATTCATTATTATATATAACATAGCGCTTTTTAATAAATGCTATTATATAGGTAGTCAAATAATAGCGTTTTATACAAAATGCTATCTTAAAGAAGTTTAATAATAGCGTTCTGATACAAAGTGCTATCAAAATTACATAGTCTGTATTATATAATAGCGCCCGATTAAAAAGTGCTATTATAAATGTGTTTTTTCCATTTTAATAGCATTTTTTTTAAAAGTGCTATTAAATTAGGTGATACAAAAAATCATTTTTGGCGTAGTGGGAGGAGAAAGATTGCAAGGATGTGTGCTGCATTCAATTAGCGGTTGATGCGGTGAATTTTTATAGGATCTCTCATGCTGAATCGGCGAAGGAGGCATAAGATATTCTTGTCAAGTACTATGAAGGAGGTGAGAACCCTATTCTTTGTCTGAGTTAAGAGGGTTCTCCAGTTTCTTTGACCTTGCTCTGTTGAAAAGTGTTTCCTTTTTCTCTAGAGGATTTTGTTCCTGGTTGTGTTGGTTCCTCGGTGTAACATTCTAGCTGATGTTCTTGTTTGTAGAGACATGTTTATTGGATTTTTGGTTGCTTCTGTTGATGTCCTTTCTGAAAGTTATAATTCTCACCTTGTTGTGATGAGTTTATGGTGATTTGATAATATGTTTTCGTCTGTGTCTAACTGTTTGTTTATGTTAGTTGATACTTTTTGCTTCTACCCTTACTAAGAGACCATTATTCTATGCAATTACAATATTGTCGGATTCACGCATTTAATATATTTTTTTATCATTAGATCAAGATTAAACAGAAAAAGTTTTAAATTAAATATTTTTTATTTAATATAAATTAAAAACTACATTTAAATTTAGACCGTTTGAACTTGATCCAACAAACGACAAAATGTTAAATGTGTGAATGTTGATTATTTAAATTGATTATGGATTTGATAGTTTTTGAACTTTAAGAATTGTAAGTCCAAATTTGAGTTGTAATAATTTTTTATCTTCAATAAATATTATTTTATAATATTTAGATACATTAGTGTTTTTGTTATTGAGCCAGAGAGATAGAATAACCCATTGATATGAATAAAAACCAAATATATAAGTCCAAACCCGAGGTACACAAACCCTAGTCTTAAATTCTACGACACTACTGCATAAACTTTCTCAAATATATTCACGATAATACCTTCAACTTGGATCTGATTTTTGCATATACTTAATTTTATTCATATGCAATTGATCTAAATTATGCAGTTTCATTCTAACAGTTAAACGTGAAGTTTATTCATTCCATGCTATTTGATTGGTCTCTTGTTATAGATATTAGTTCATTTTCATCAACTGTAATTTCCTTGATTAAATGTGATGAGTTTCATATTATATTAATTAATGATTTTTTGTTGTCATTTTGGGATTTTGAAGTTTAGTTGATTTCAAACGTTTTTTTATTATAAATTATATTTTTCTTCTCTAGTTGTTCCGCTTGTGACAAATAACGTTAAAGATTGAGAGGGATACTAATGGCATTCTTCACCGGCATCCACATCCTAGGGCCCTTTTCTCTGATTCATCTCACCACTGTTTAGTGAATAGTGAATGATGGATCCTTGATGTTTAATTTTTTCTTAAAAACATTCTGCAATATTTGAACTACATGCATTTGGAGACACATTTTGTAACCTTTGATTAGGCCAAGAATTCAAATAATTTTTATATAAGACAAAGCATTGAGGAGTTTAAGCATGCTAATATTAACCATTTCAAATTTCTAGAAGAACCCAAATTTATACATTCATCTTTAAACAATACCACAACAACACATGACAAATCATAATGCATAAAAATGCTACAACTGTGAGAATTCGTTGATACTTGCTTCCAAATGTAGAGCTTCTAAGAATCATAAATTTGAAGAGACGTCTGACTATGTTGTGAAGAAATATGAAGAGAGAATGAGAGTGGACTATGAACTTATTTCTTTTATATATTTTCCAACTAACTTTTAAAAATGAGATACAATGTGATTTATATAGAATCACATGATAGAATACTTAAAGTTACAACATTTACTATTTCTAGGTCCCAAAGGAATATATTTCCCACTGCCCTAGAGAATCTGACTTTTGATTTACCAAAGACTGATTTGAATTTAACCAACAAAACTCCCCTATAAATTCAAATATTCCTTCGATCCATCATGCCTAGTATTTTCTTGCCTCTGTCGAAAAGCTCCTTCAACAGTGGTTTTGTAAGGATGTCTGCTGCTTGATCTTTGCTTGTAACATGCTTCAGTTCGATACTTCCATTCTTCACATGTTATCGAATAAAATGGAATCGAACATAAATGTGCTTACTTTGTTCATGGTGACTGGATTCTTCGCCAGTTCGATTGCAGATTTGTTGTCAACTTGAATTATTGTTGCGTCTTCCTGTTTCGATTCCATCTTGCTCAACAATCTTCTTAGCTATATTGCATGGCATACACACTAGGATGCTTCTACATACTCTTCTTCACAGGTCAAAAGAGTTACAATGGGTTGCTTTCTTGACAGCCAGGTGAAAGCATTCTTTCCTATGAGGAATACATATCCTGAAGTGCTATTTCAATCATCAATGTCACCACACCAATCACTACCAGAGTAGGCACTTAACTTGTATTCTTATGCTTTCGAATAGAACATTCCAAGTGACACAGTTCCTTGGACATATCGAAGGATTCTCTTCAGAGCTTTCAAGTGTGCAACAACTAGTTCTTCCATGAAACGACTCACAATTCCAACACTCAGCGAAAGATTTCGCCTTGTGCATGTGAGGTATCGAACGCTTCCCACCAAGCTTCGAAATTTTTTTGCTTCGACACACTCTCCCCCATCAAATTCTGAAAGCTTAGCTCCTGGATCCATTGGTGTCGAAATGGAATTGCAACTATCCATCTTAAATCTTTTCAGGATATCTTTTGCATACTTTTCTTGTAAGATGAAGATTCCTATTTCTTCCAGTTGAACCTCCAGA